GTGTGTGTGTGTGTGTGTGTGTGTGTGTGTGTGTGTGTGTGTGTGTGTGTGCGTTTGTTTGTGGGGGACGGGGGAAGAGAGAAAGAGAAAGAGGGAGGGAAATTACTATCACTATCGAAACTGTGCCATGTTTTATTGGGACATTCCATTTCATTATCCAAAGGTCAATGACCCATTCGAGAACCCTTTACGACATGGTCGGCTCACGTAAGCGTCAGTTAAGGGAAGACCCGGGTCGGCGATCCCTTCACATGGATCCCCAGACCGTATAAGTTTGTACTTGCGAGCCAAATTTCAGGCTGATAATTCAATATTTACTATGAAATTCTTCTGCACTAAGAAACTGGTTTGAAAATCCAAGATGTCCGCCACAGAGGAAAAATCAACAAATTCACCCTAAGAACATCCTATTTACCAATGAACTTTGTGCACAATTACATGAAAGTGAATATTCTAAAGTCATTCCTTTAGAATTTTTTTTTCCGGGAGTGCACGTCTCCCCTTAACTCTTTGCAGTCACTCAGCCAGCCGTGCAGAATTCCCCATCTGGTCACTAGCACTGGGCTAAGAGTCGATTCCGGTACCGATTAACACGATTAATACTACAGAAGTCCGTCTCCTTTTTACGTAAACCAACGGTTGCCAGTTACTTTTATCACTCTCACTAAAATCGTCTCCTCTTTTAAAAGATTTATATTTGAAAAATAAAAGCTGATGCTTAGTAGTGTTCCGAAATCAAGGTTGTCCCAAATCCTGAAGATGTCCGGAGCCAACCAGGTAACCACAGGAAAAAAATCACATCATTAGAAAGCAAGTAATTATTATGTCCGGAGTCGATTCCTACGCTTCCGAGCTTTCTATAATCGGGAACCAAGCCGCCCAGCACTACTGGTCACCCAGTCAATAGTGTGACTGTAGCGGACTTCTCGCGCCAGGTGACAGGAACGGATCATTTTCACCGGCGCATTATTGCACCAAGTGACCCCAAAGTGTTGAATCTTTTCAGAATGTTGTTATCGTCGATACACGTAAGTATCAGTTAGAAATTCTTTTCAGGATGTAGTAGCTGAGAAAGCTTGCCGAGAACATGGCAAGGACTTAATGATAATAATAATAATAATAATAATAATAAATATTTCTTATTGTTCGTCCTTCGCTTATGACGATGACCATGACTTCACAAATTGGTCTGTTGACGGTGACTGTGGGTCCGGAGATGGCTGATTAGTCCTATCCGGGCTCGGAAGGTTCGCCCACATTGTGGGCACGGGTAGTCTGCTGTTGGACTTGTGGTGGAGGCAGGGCTAGACTTGCGCACGTTGCGTTTTTGTTTGTCCTCGGCGATTCCCTTGGCTTCTGCTGCTTTGGCTCCCTTCGTTAGCTTGCAGCGCCACGTGGGACAATCTTGGGCCAACGTTTCCCACGAGTTGTTCAGGATTCCAAATTCCTTTTGTGAGACTTTGAGGAAGTCCTTGAAACGTTTTTCTGCCCTCCAACTGAGCGCTTGCCATGAAGCAACTCTCCCGAAATCAACTGTTTGGGCAACGATAGCAATATCAATAATAATAACAATGACAATAGCACAATGACAATAACAATATCAATAACAATACCAATAACGCACCTCCTTTGTCCGTAATCCCCTCCTCTCCAGGCATCATTTCAGAGCTCCAACACTTCCAGTACCTCGGTGTGGAGACCCTGTGGCTCAGCCCCTTCTACAAGTCTCCACAGAAAGATTTCGGCTACGACATCTCCGACCAGAGGGATGTGGACCCCATGTTTGGCTCCATCGAGGACTTCCGTAAACTGGTGGCCGAGGCCAAGAAACTGGGTGAGCAGTCTGTTAGGTCAAGAAACTGAGTGAGTCAAGAAACTGGGGGAGTAAAAACTGGATGAGTCTGTGAAGCCAAGAAACTGGGTGAGTAGTCTGTGAAGCCAAGAAACTGGGTGAGTAGTCTGTGAAGCCAAGAAACTGGGTGAGTAGAACCTGGATGAGTCTGTGAAGCCAAAAAACTGGATGAGTCTGTGAGGTCAAGAAACTGGATGAGTCTGTGAGGTCAAGAAATTGGGTGAGTCTGTGAAGCCAAGAAACTGGGTGAGTCTGTGAGGTCAAAAAACTGGGTGAGTCTGTGAGAATGAGAACTTCACGTAAATCCTGAAACATTGTCGTGCTGCGTCAAACGTCTGAGATGTCAGGAAACGCTTTGGACGAGTTTGTCAAGCTTAATCGGTCTTTGGTCTAGTCGGAATTTCTTTCTTAATACCATCAGTAATAAATTTCATAGAGCGTCAAAGAGTAAAATAGTTCGGACATCTAACCAGAATGCCCCAGAAACAACAAGCGGCTAGAGCTTACAACCCCCGAGAATCCGGATTCTGATCAAGAGGAAGACAAAAAAGACCTGGCTGGATGGGGTTAAAAAGGTCCTGGAACAACATAACATATCTATCACAGACGCTACACTCCTAGTACAGGACCGAAACCTGCACCTCCCCTCGACATCCTAAGGATACCAGAGGAAGAAAAAGGTAAAGTATCGACAATGATTTAATCATAATATCTGTTACTGCCTGTCAGGGCCAACCCGTGCTGAGAGGGAATCAACATCCCAGGAGAATGACTGAGATACTCGATGAAAAATTTCCCCAATTCGATCGAACTCGGGTCTCCTGCTTGCGACAGCGCCTGACCGCTACTCCACAGACGCAGTGCGTAGTCGGAGGCAGCAATTGACAGGAGCAAAGGCTCGAAAGTCTATTTATATATTTATCAGTCTGTTTATAATGGTCAGTCCTTTTTTTAACTACACTGTGTTTCTTAATCAGGATTAACAAGTCATCGTCTTCCTTTTTCTGTTCCAGTCTGACTGTCAGTCTGTCTCTCTCTTTCTCTCTCTCTCTCTTTCTCTCTTGCTCTCTCTCTCTCTCTCTCTCACACACACACACACACACACACACACATACACACACACACACACACACACATACACACACACTCACACAGCCCTACATTTCAACCACCAACACCACCGTTAAGGATCTATGCTGACCATGTATTTACCTGTCAGCTTATCAGAACCACACAGGTTCCTGAGTGTTCTAAACGAATCAAAAATACAATGTTGTATTGTCCTATTTATATCTCGTGGTAGCTTCCAGCTGGTTACTGTTCGCTTGTTCCCAAACAAGATGATAAAAATATTATGATGACAGCTGTTATTTGTGCCTACCTATAGTAAAATCCTGACGAAGGAGGAGCGGGAGGTTGAGGAGGAGGAGGAGGAGGAGGAGGAGGAGGAGGAGGAGGGGGAAGAGGAGGAAGAGACGACGACGATGACAAACAGAGATAACGATCAAAGATAAATAAGAACATGGTTGTCCCCTGAACACGTCGGTCACACAACAACAACAACAACAACAACAACAACAACAACAATACTACCACTACCAACAACAACAACAACAATACTACCACTACCAACACCACCACCACTACCACCACCACCACCACCAACAACAACAACAATAACAACAACAACAACAACACTACCAATACCACCACCACCAACAACAACAATGACCAAAACAGCAACACTTCTCTGGGTCGCGCATAGGCACAACAGACTAATTACTGACTCCATAGTCACCAGAAAGCCATCAACCACATGCAGAAGAAACAACAATAACTACAAAAACAACAACAACAACAGCAACAACAACAGCAACAACAACAGCAGCAACAATATCAACAACAACGTCAGCAGCAATAACAATAACATCAACAACAACATCAAAACAACAAAAACAAAAACAACAACAATAACAACAACAGCAACAACAAAACAATAACAACAACAACAACATCAGCAGTAGCAGCAGCAGCAGTAGTAACAACAATAACATCAGCACTACCTACCAACCAACATCAACAGCAAATAGAACAACAGCAGCAGCAACAACATCATCAACAACAACAACAAGAACAACAACAATAACAACAGCAGCAACATCAGCACCAGTACCAGCAATTTGCTTTTACCTTCTCACACACGTCAAAACTGTACAAAAACTGACTCTCAGCTTCTTCCTGTCCCCAGGTTTGCGAACCATCGTGGACTTTGTTCCCAACCACACCAGCACAGACCACGACTGGTTCCAGAAGAGCGTCAGACGAGAGGGCAAATACACCGACTACTACGTGTGGTCAGACGGGAAAACTCTGCCTAATGGCACCGTAGTGGCCCCCAACAACTGGGTAAGAGCTTCACTCTCAAATCAAATTATCTAATAATTTGGGTGTTTTTCTGATAAAATTTAAACAAAATAATTTTTAGAATTAAAAACAGATAGTATTTGTATAGCGCAATTCCCCGCTCAACAGCAAGCTCTGTGCGCTTCACAATTTATACTATTACCCCAGCAGACCTGAGAGCATTCTGAAACAACCTCAACCTCCTTGCCCAATACTTCTGTTGGGTTATGTTTTTGTTTTTGTTTTTGTTTCTTTAAAAAAAGAAAATCAAGTAAAAGTTTCCACACCCCCATGGACATAACGTCACGCTATTTCCCCACACCTCTTTGTTTTCCTCTCAGACGACCTAAATTGTGTTGATGGGGGTGTAAAACAATATGTGAACTCTCCACCTGTTTGTCTACAGCTCGGTGTGTTCTTTTTTATCCCCTGCCCATTTATATGAGATTGACGTCATCTGATTAGTAGAAAAAAGTGCGTATGATAGTGTCCAATAGTGTATTACATGTATACATAGTATGACAAGTAGCTGTTACAGATAGAGATTCCAGGATTATAAATGTAAGTCATTGATCTGACAGCAATGATGATTTTAGAAATAATGGTGGTGATGAGAGATGATGTGGGATTGCGTTTAAGTAATGTTAGCATTAGTCCTATCTTCCTATGCTCCAATGAGTCACGAGGGACGTGGGCACCCTCTATCCCGTTCCCTACTGGAACCATCTTTAATATCACCGTGAAGTTCCGAAATGGTGGACACAGTCTCTGCTAAGGTGACATTGTTAGTGTTAGCCTATTCTATCGGGCCAGGACAAGTGTCCAGAGGAGCTAAATGGGAAGACAGTATAGTGGCAGGTATGTTGGGGTATTCGTAAGTGGGTTGTAGGTAGCAAGCAAACAGATTATGAACTTTAAAATGCAGCATTCTTCTCCAGCTCAGCGTGTTCTATGGCAGCGCCTGGGAGTGGAATGATCAGAGACAGCAATACTATCTGCATCAGTTCATCAAGGAACAGGCGGACCTCAACTACCGCAACCCCGACGTCAGGGAGGAGATTCTGGTGAGTCACAGCATGCTGGCGTACCAGACTTGGATGATTCCTGGATGATCCCTGGATGATCCATGGATTTGTAATATTCCTTCCTCAGGATTCCTTAGACAACAGGCAAGTTTGATGGAAAGAGAGGCAGAGGCAGACAGAGGGAAAAGATACGGGACACGCAGTGGCGGTGGGTGGACCAAAATTTGGGTGGGGCTTAGGTTGCTCCCATTTCTTTACCACCAAATAGCAAGTAATAAGAACAAAACAGTGATGATTTTTCTATACTCACTTTGACAACACAGCTGGGAACAGCAAGAACGATAGACACCTTTGCTGTAACGCAAGACAGAGTGAAGTGGAGGTCCATGATCGCCCACGCTAGTCGGCAGGGCACCGGATGATGATGATGATGATGATGATACTTATCCTGCTCTGTTTGTGTATGCCAGTATGACAGTGTTAGCATGTACCTTCTGACCTTCCATCTTACACATAGTATGTAGGTTGTTGCAAAGCACATAGTATGTTTGTAAGTTAAAGTAAAGCACATAGAATGCTGATATGAGTCTTTTGAAAAATAAGAAAGTTTCTAAGAAAATTAAATAAGAACATTTAATGTTCCAAAAACACGAAATCTGTAATAATGAGTAATGTTTTTCATTTCCCAGTTGGCAATGCGTTACTGGCTTGACTTTGGCATCGACGGTTTGAGAATGGACGCGATTGGTCAGCTGTATGAGGTCACTGACCTTTCTCTGGACGAGCCACTGTCCGGAGCCCCAGGAGTCCCGCTGGTATTTTGGGGGGGTTTAATTAAGGAGAGGTTTTACGGCGCTTGCAACTGCATAAGGTCATATTATCAGCGCCATGGGGTGGATGCCAACAAAGAAGTCCTTACAGGGAATCAGACTTACTCTGCTCAGCTCTCTAGCTTCAACAGCACAACGTCTGTTTCGACTATCAAGGCACCCCAAAATAGCAGGTCACAATAATGTGACAAACATACAAAAGAAGTAGAACGGAAATGACAATAGTAAGGATTAGGAAAGAAAAAGTAGCAGTTCCCTGTTGCAGTTCAGGCACAGTTATGAGCGTGACATTGGTGAATCAGTTCATTTACAATTACAATTTTACTGTGCAAAAGAACTCGAGATGTTAATGTCCCCCTTTTGGGAACGGCCTAAAGACACTTCAGTCAGTAGCACCGCCCCGTAGCTGGTAATACAATGACATATAATATAATACTTTCTGTTAATATCTTACGCCCCCTCGACACAAATTAGATAACTTACGAGTTATGTGGGATTTTTTAAGGGTGTGGTTTGGGGGGGGGGGGAGATGCCATTTCAAAAGAACAAATATTTTGGAAGGGAGGCAAATATAAAAATGAGAAAACTAGGACAGTATGGAGATAGAGCAGGAAGGAACCAAGGTAACTGGTGGCTCATTTCATTGTTTCTGTTGGGGGGTTTTCATCAGAACGAGTACGATTCTCTGCTCCACCCGTAAACAAGAAAATATTTCCTTTTGGGATAATAAAGTACTATCTTATCTTATCTTATCTTATCTAATTTTATCTTATCATATCTTATCCCATCTCATCGTTAATTATCTTATCTTACCTTATCTATCCTAGCGTATCTATCTATCTTATTGTATCTTATCTTATCTTATCTTATCTTATCTTATCGTATCTAATCTTTTCTTACCTTATCTCACCTCATCTCATCTCATTTAATCTCATCCCCAGAACGAGTACGACTCCCTGCTCCACCCGTACACCAACTTCCTGCCAGAGGTCAAGGACGAGATCATCCGCTGGCAGACGATGCTGGACGGGATGGAGAAGGTGGACGGCAGACAAAGGTCACCACAAACCTGTTTCTTGTTTTTGTTTTGTTTTAGTAGAGGTTTTACGGCGCTCGCAATTGCATAAGGTCATATGAGCGCAAAGGAGTGGATGTCAACAGAGAAGTCCGAAACGGGGAATCAGGCTTACTCTGTTCACCTCTCTAGCTGCAACAGCACAAAGTTTGCCTCGACTATCAAGGCACCCCGGAAATAGCAGTTCACAAGAGAGTGACAAACATGCAAAAGAAGTAGAGGAAAAATGATGATAGTAAGGATGAGGACAGAAAAAGCAACAGTTCCCCTTTGTTGTTCTGCCACAGTATGAGCATGACATTGATAAATCAGTCCATTTACAATTCTACTGTGCATAAGGACATGTTAATATCCACGCTTTGGGGGATGGCTTAAAGGTATTTCAGTCAGTAGCACTGCCGGGGG